GTTTCCAGGGTTCGTCCCCCTTCCAAAAAAAAAAAAAAAACAAAAAAAATCCCCCTCTTTTTTCCATTTTTTTTTTTTTTTTTTTTTTTTTTTTTATTTCTGTATGCAATGTAATGTTTAGGCACGTTGCTTGGGACGCCTTCTAAAATAAATCATTGGCCATTGTTTAGAGTATCCTTTTGGCTTTCAATACTGGTCAGGAAAACAAATGATGTAAAAAATAAATGAATATAACTATTACAGAAACAAAAATGGATTTGCATCTAAAAGTGCAGGAGGTGAAGTACTTTAACCCTTTCACCAGACAATGTGGCAATATATGGTATATTGCTTCTGTTTGTTTGAAAAGGCTGTTGGAATTTTACACTGACATAGAAAATTATAAATTACACAGAATTAGTTTCCATAATCACTATATATATATACACAAACCAGCTGTGAAAAAAAACTGGTTTAGAACATACAAATGAAAGCCTCACACAGATCAGTACAGTGAAAGTAACAATTAACATGCTCCGCTGCCAAAATTTGTATTAAAAACACTATATACTTTTAAAATGCATGTACTGTAATTACATTAGCAGCACGGGCATTTCATTTACTTGACTTGTCTGAAAGGATTATAGCGTTTTAAATACGCAGATTGTTCTGAAATGTTCCATTGTATAATGCTTGGTATCAAACTAAATCTTGGTGAATGGGTTAAAAGGCAGGTGAATCACTTAAACACAACAAGCCATGTGCACTTCAAATATTCTAGTGTTTCACCTGTAAGGTATTGTTTCAAGCAAACAAGACTTAACAGAACATATGGCTTTACAGTAACATCAATTTGTCAACTAAGTAGTAGCAATAAATACTTAAAATCTCTACCAATAGACTTACATTTTTGATCTGTTTTAAACAATACAGAAAACAATTACCAATTAAAAAACTTGTTGTAAAATGTTGAACACCAAAAAATTCTTATTTAAATCACTTTTGTAAGCTAAAACAACCAAAATAACATTTATAGGGCATTTCAGTTTCAGAAGAAACATGAATTCATTTTTTTCTTTTCTTTTTACAAGGTGAAAAAAATGTATGAAAACTGCTAAATACTTTGGTCACACTAATCGTCAAATAGTTATGTCTCAAATACATTAGATTTGTGTATTCACTTTTTTATAAAACTATTCTTACAGCCATTTTAACTATAGTAACACTACTGTCATCATTATATGGGTAGCAGGATCTTATTTCACAGGCCACCCATTATTTAGAACAATACAATATAAACATACGCAAAAATTATTGGTATTTCTCAATGTGCAATATTTTTACACTTATGAATTTCTGTACAATGTCTTAAAATCTAGAATATAAACGTTGCTGGTCCTGATCCCTTGCGAAATTAGTGCAGCAGTGACTGGCTTCAACAGAGTCTAGATGAAATCCTCAAGAAACACTCAAACACCTGGATATCAGTTCATTTTCTTCAGCCAAGGTAGCAGACATCACGCATCATACAGGGCCATTAACAGATGCCTCTCCTAAATGGCTGGGTTGATCAGTCCTAAGAGGCCAAAAAAAAGATGTAAGTATACAAGAAACAAGAAGGGTCCAAAACAAATTCAGATAGGTGCAAAAAAGCCCCCCCAAAACCAACAACCCCAGATCATGTGTAGTGTGACCCCCGAGTTGAACAGAGGAAACACTAGCTAATAACATGCTCATCCCATTTATTTTCTGGAGTCCAGCATTTCTGGAGTCCTTATTGCCTAATTAAGCATAGCACTTTAATTAACTGAGCACACCATTGAAGAGTGTTTGATCTTTATTAACTGAGCTACTAAGTGATCTCTAGAGATGTGATATCTCCCCAAGAGAATCACTAATAAAAAGCACATTTCTTCTCCAAATCTTATTCTGTAAGGTGAACTGTGATAGCAGAGCTATTTAAGGTTGCATTTGAAAGTAAGCAGCTAAGACAACAGAACAAACAACAGTGTCTTAAAAAAACTGCTTTAGTTACTAATCTAATCTACAAACTGCCATTTCACAAATACTTTGAATGTCAGTCCATTAGCATAAAAAGCTCAGGAAGTATAGAGGAAAATAAGGAGCAAACCTGCAAAAGTGAAAACAATAACAGTATACACATTTCTAGATAAAAAGTTTAGTGTAAACGTGGGCTCAATTGCTCTGGACTAACAAAGAGATCAAATCAGTGGCGCATGAGAACATTAAGAATTGCAAGCAAAGGCAAAAAATCTCAACTTCCATTCAGTGCAAGTCTACTGAACACATTTGAAGATTCCCTTAAAGAACATAAACACCATTTGGAACTACACACGAGAAAAGTTACCTGTAACTCCTGTTCTCTGATGGTGTACATCACAGAGAAGCCACTCTTGGGTCCGTGCTCTACATGCACATGACCAGCAGGAGTCCCCTAGCTAAGTCTTTGGCTGCTAAGCTCTAAAAACACTTTTTAAAAAAAATATGTACACATTAGACAAAAGACAGACAGCACTAGACAAAAGTAAACACGTTTTAGAGAAACCTGGAAGGTAAGAAACAAGTGCTGCATGGACAGGAAGTCTGATAGTCTGCACAGCAGTAAGTAACTTACTAACTGGAAAAAAGTCCATAACAGAACAGGGCTCCTAGCAGAGATTACTGCTGGCCACCAGCCAAAGACCTACCTAGGGGACTCCTCCCACTAGTCATACATGCATGGAGCCCCAAAAGCACAATTATGTTTATCTTGATATTATACTGCGCTTATATGAGGATCTGCTGTGACAGCCACCTTTAGAGAAAGTACTGAGCTTCGCTTAAGCCAGCTGGATTCAGTGAAAACAGCTCGAGATTTCCTGCAACTCAAAAGCAATCCAGCGAACTGCTAGCTCTGAGAGCCCTCTGTTGGTTTAGACAAGCATCTTTACTCAAAAGGCAATCACCTAGTACCCAAAGACCTACAATTTAATGCTTATCAGCATTAAAAATATTGTCTTGATAAAAACTAATTCCAGATATAGAAGAAGCTATGAAAGACAGTTTCTGGGTTTCCCACTTCAACTAAGTATACAGGGTTAGTTTTTTTCTGATTAGAATCCATTTCTTGATTAAATTTATGGAATTTATGCAGAGTAGAAAGTTCTGGCTTACAGGAAAAGGTAAGTAGCAGTGTTTTAGCATAACACTTCGATGTAAGACATACGAAGTCATAAACAAGTCTAAAAACCAGAATCTAAATTTGTCAAACATGCTTGCACCTTTCTTAGTCCGCAAACAGTATAATCAGAACATGCAGTAGAGTTGTGTTGTATGTAGAGCTATACTCTAAATCTTTGCTTCCAAAAGCAATTTGTCTTCACTAGAAAGCTAAATATATAATATAGCATCCACAGAGTCTTAAAAATGATTACTTCTTTCACAGGATTTGTGTGAGAAACACCACGTTTCTCTAGTAATAGTTTAAAATCTATTAAAGTCAAGAAACACAACAGCTTTTAAACTACTAAAACAACTAGTTAAACACACATTCAGAAAATATGTGTGTGTGTGTATATATATATATATTTTTTTTTTTCTGAATTCTGATTTTCAGAATCATACCCCTATTTATACTGCAAGGCAAAAGTGACTCCTGGAATTGTTTTTAATTAAGCAAAATCCTCTCTCCCTTGAGGACATGCTCCCATTCAGAACATCCTCAGCTCCCCAACAATAAGGCAGCATGCCTCTGACCCCCCAAGCCCTGCCCTGCAGGAAGAGGAGCAGACCCTATGGAATACTCAGGGTTTAGTAAATACACATTTAGGTTTTCCTTTTACAAGGGTTTTCTTGGAGACAGCACAGTTCTTCTGGGCACCCTTGAATTATATCTAAAACAGGAAATGGCAGCTTATTGCCCTTTGCCTTAACACCAAGAATCAAGCCTGTGGGATTGCACATGATGTTCAACAAGCCATTAGCTCTGCTAGGAAACCAGTAAACTCTTGCCTAGATATGAATTTTAAAGTACTTATCAATACCCAAGTTCCAGAGCAACGTCTTCACTGAATACTGCCTTCAAGGGTGGAAATCTTCTCACGTACTTTAAACTCTTCATTGTTTTAGGCTTTTAAGAGAAAGATGAATCCTGCTCTGACTAGTCTAGAAACTAGCTCAGATATGAAACATCTGCATTAAGCATTTCTAACATTTGGTGATCAATGTCACCCTACATGCATTTGATTTTGGTGAAGCCATACTAGACTTACAAGTTGATTGTGTATGTTTCCATACCTTTGTAACTTGGGAGGCACCCCCCCCCCCCCCCCCCACACCCAACAACCACACAATGCGCATACTGTCAAATGCCTTTTTTTTTTTTTTTGGAGAAAGCAGTACTATCTGGCAATTTAAGAGAAACAAATTTATGCAAGAGCAACTTTCTCTGTTTGGTGGTGGTCCCCCCAGAATTGTATCCAGAATTACTATTCTCCAAGACTGCAATAGTAGCCAAGCTGCCGAAGAAAAATGTCTTTTTTTTTACTTTCCTCCAATAAGTATGCTGAGCAATCCAGGCTGCTCCATATTTCAGACAAGTTTTATTTGAAACAAATAATTTATGTACTTTGAAAAATCTTCTCCAAATCTACAAGTATTCAGATTAATACCCGATGAAGACAAGGGTGCAAATAACAACTGAATCACAATCAAACAAGCATGATTTAAGGCACCATTTCCTTTCCATACAGCTGCACTACTGGACTCCCCCCAAACTGTTCTGCAGTATAGAATACAGAATGAAAACCTGGTAGACCTAACTTACATAAATTTTCAGGACAAACTCAAACTTATTCCCCTAATATATTTTTTTTAATCATCATTTTCTAAGTGTATCAATTCACTATTCTAACTTGGTAACATATCACAAAACAGAATGGGGTCTTGCAACACCCTGCAAGACAAATAGTACAAGGAAAAAATATTTTTGACAACTCAAGAGTCTTAGAATCAACAGAAAATACAATTTGTGAGAATTTTATAAAATAGATGCAAGCACATGTTTAGATGGAGCTAAACTCAGAGGTAATAACTAACAGGAATTCATGAATCTCTTCAGATCAATCCTATTAGAAAAACATATACAAATTGCTATTTAGAGAATTGAAAACATCCATGAATGCAGTTACCTCTGTTCTGGACTGCTGTTAGGAGGCTGCAGAGCTGAAGGAGCCTCTTCTGCAACCTCTGCATTCTCTTCTACTACATATTTACAAGAAGCATCCTGTGAGGTGGACAATTTCCCTTCCTCACTTAAAAAAAAAAAAAAGAAAAAAGTTATTTAATTTTTAAGTTTACTTATAGGGAAATTTCAGGCAACAGGAGAAAACTGGGAGGCAGGTCCATATTTCACATGCAAATGGATTTTAAGTTATGATTGCAACATGAATATCAAGCACATGGCTCTAGACTTTATGAACACCTAATAACACACCGGTGTTTATGTCTATTAAAACTTGGATAAAAGGGCAGGAAATACAGGCAGGATTACAAATAAGACCAAAAAGGAAATAAAGAATGTGTGTGATTCCTGAAGCAGTAACAATCACAGTCATGATCCTTTACTATACATACCGATACGATTTCAACACTCTGAAGCCAGAAGTATGCAAAAATGGAAGGAAGAAAGTATAAAAGAAATTCAAGATTCCCTCAGAAACTGGCATTAATAAAGTCTGTCCATGAAACATACAAACAGAATCATTAACTCATCACCATCTTTAATAAACTCCCTAAAAGCTCCACAGTGAAATACCATGTATGGGTTATGAAGTACTAAGACTGCAGCCCAATCTGTTTCATGAACTTCCTCTCAGAGACAAAACCAAACAGTTCAGTGAAAAAGCAGTATGCTTACACTATACAAGACGTTACCATGTAACTCGGCAGCCTCAAAAGTCATTAGCAAACAAATACTTGTGTTTTGCCTCTAAGTAAAAGCTTTTCTGCCTCTCTATTCCATCCTCTCCCACCTCAGCCACACCAATATGAGTGCACTAAAATACTAATTTGACCATATACCTGCAAGAGAGAGTTATAAGGTAGCTCTGAAGTAGACACAAACATCAATCTTATACCTCTGTGGCAACAAATCTATTCATGCAAGAAGTCAGGAACATTTTAAAGCCACTCTCCTCTGCTGATTTTTCTTCCTATTCTTATAGTTCTCCTTTCAATGGATCCTTTAAATTTCAACGGATCTTTCTCTTTCCCCCCATGCCTCCTGATATCTGCAAAGCCTGTAAAAATAGTCTTTTGCATTGCAGTCTCTCATCAAGATCCAGATTTCCCCATCTGATCTCGCCATCTCATTTGCCTTGAAACTCTTTGTATTTGTTCAAAATAAAATACTTGTCACCATCACAACTGGCCTCCTAATTTTTTTATTTTTTAAAAAGGGGTAGTCTCTGCTATCATTCTTCCCTTCTCATTCTCCATTTTGAACTAAATCCAGAAACGACATTTTTGTCCTTTGCAGCTTTCCACAAATTAACTACTATTCTTATGATGCTGCTCCTCCCCTCAACATTGCCTTCAACACCATCAATTTTCTCTTAGCAGAGACCTGTATAAAACCTGGGTGCTCAAGCACCCACTTTGCCAGGTACACAGGCCAGAGTACGACCTCCTCTTGTTACTCTAATTGTCCCTTAAATCTAGACTTTTTTTTTTTAGCATTGTTTTAGATATTTATTCCAAAGGAAGTACTACTTTTCTCTCCCATTTGTTGTTCTGGCATATTTAAAAGTTGGCTTAAAGAAAGCCACGTGAGCATTGACTCAGTATGAGGCCACATACCTCTACCAGAGTACAACAGTCTCCATATTTAAGACCTCACCTTTCAGCCTCCTCCTACATTTCCTTAATCTCCCCTTTCCAAATCAAGATCCCAGAGTCCCCATTGCTAGAGGTTTTCAAGATGTGATTGGACAGAGTGCTACATAATCTCATCTAGGCTCCCTTTCTCACTAAAGGTTGGACCAAATGATCTTTTGAGGTCTCTTCTGACCTGGGCGGTTCTATGATATTGCCTCCTTTTGCACCCCTGTCCTTTTAACTACAAGAATTGAAGTATTTACTCCACAACTCAAGCAGGTAATTCCATGAAGGCAGGTGGCAACTGCCACCGCATGCTGCCTCCTCATGTTAGTTTTTGCACCAGTACCAGAAGTCACAGAACTATAAAGTGTGTGTGAACTAAAGCAGTTTAAGGAGAAGCCTATACACACCATGGATAACTAAATCCAACTGCAAACATCTAACACAATAGGAGTGCAGACCATATAAAATCATTCCCCAAAATACAGAATAAACTGGAGAGCAGATGCATCATTTACTAAGTCAGCAAGGCACTATGGTTCCATGCCACATCAGTCCGCACTGAGTCACAATCCTCCTCTAAACTGCTTTGGTTCAATTCCTCTAACAATGCCATTTGATTTAGAAGTGCTGTGCAGCCATAAATGCTCCCTCCTCCATACTGAAAAACATCAGAAGTTAAGTCAGGTGCCAAAAGAGATTAGAGTTATTTATTGCTTCAATAATCAAAAGGATGGAAGAAGGAGTGACTGAAAGCTGCTACATTTCAATTCCTGAACCACCCAAAATGAATATAGCACTTATCTACTACCACTAACAGGACACAGTAAAGTGAATTTAAAAGAAGGGCTGGGAAGTTTTTTTCTACTGAAATGGACTGGGATTTTTTTAAGCAACTTCCAAGACATACAGACAATTTATTTTCAGAATTTAAAGCTAGAATAGGGACAGATACTAGAAAATTATTCTAAAAGAATAAGAGGTTTGCATGCCAAAATGCTAGCACTATGTTCTGATTTGCCAAGATGGGGACAGGGGAGCTTCAATTTATAAAAGCAGCTTCAATTAACAAAGGCAAAATTATTTTTGCAGGTCACACTCTTTGTA